ATCTGAAATGTTCGTTTAATTCCATTGGTAAACAAAAGAGTTATTAAAGATCAAAAGTAGCACATCTTTTTTTTTGACACGTAGTATTTGACAATTTATGCACCGACTAATAACAAGAAAAAGCAGACTGCATTTCCACCAATCAATTTTGTCATATTCAATGCTGAGAGGGTCGACCAAACAGCTAAATTTCTTTTTTCCATACCTTTTTACACACTTCATGTACCCTACCGGCATGTACAGCATGCACAATGATAAGTTTCTGTACATACACAAATGGGCTCCGTGTACAAGCACTGTACCCCCTCAATGGTAAGGAAGGGAGAGTTAGGGGAGACCACTTGGAGTCGAACGCATCGCTGATGCCGCCTGATGCTCACGCGAAGACGCTGTTGCTTGGTGCACATTCAGAATGAAATTAGTCATGCCTACATGTAATTCCCAATTTAAGCCCGGTTCATACTCGGCGCGAAAGCGAAAGCGAATTTGTGACATCAAGGTAAGTATTTGCGCTGCAAATTCGTAAAAGTTGAACATATTTCAACTTGGGCAAAATTCGCAGCGAATGTTTCATGACGTCAAATTCGCTTGGCATTCGCATGGAGTATGAACCGGGCTTTACATGAACCAATACACACACACGTGGTGTGTCCCGTCCATGGTGCTATCGAAAGTGGTAAAAAAGTGTCCTCTCTTGCTCGCGCACGGAGCACATAGCACATAGTATGTACAGGTTTTGGAATTTTACATGTTAGTACATGTATTTGGAAAGGACAATGCAGTGCAGTCCATGTACATGTATACATGTACATGTACACACTTTCAGCGCAAGCAAATTTTATGTTGATGTATACATGTGTACTAAGTACATGTACTTAAATTTTACAATGAAGCACCCCTCCAACCGTTAAGTGCCATCAAGAAAGATGCTCACTTGGCTTAAACAAATCATGGAAGGGACAATTTACTGTCACCCACAATATTGTGTTTTCAATTTTCCGCTGATTTACGGTACTCATATTCTCCTTTTGGGTCAAAGTCCAAGCAACAACTTTATTGTACGAACATGTTTACATAAGGTGGGTTTTATCTTTGGCAAATATTTCAATGTACGCACTTCTATTTGTGTAAGGAGTCAACCCCTCTGACTGTGACTTTTCTTGGCCATTTAGCTGAACATGTAGCAGTGGTCGATATTTGATCAATTTTAAAGAAGAAATTTCAGCTATAAAAATTAATATTCCTCATAGAAACTCTCAAGTCTAGTACGATAATGGCTTTCAACAAAAGTGTGGCATTCGACAAACAAGTGATCTGCAGATCGCACGTGTCGCCTTTTTTCGCAGTCGACCCATAAATGTTTTGTGTTCTTTAAAAAATATCAACTTTTTGGAGCAAGTCTAAACAATGACCTCAACTGACCCCTAGATAACCTTTGACCTCCGATTTCGGAGGGGTTGTCATGAACCCCCACCCAAGGCTAACTCCATCCAAGTTACATACCCCAACATTTAAATTTATAATCCATCAAATTTGGTAGACAAAACATTTGAAGCATTGAACATGTTGAACAATGAACTCTAATGACCCCTACATGACCTTTGACCTCAGTAATCCCATGAAGAATTGTGTCTTCCCACCCAAGGGTCACATACGTATGTATGTGTTTTATGTAGTGGCTTGATGATTCAACCCAATGCTACTGCTGCTGGATAGGTTTTTGATCTTCATGCATACTTAATAATAATCCATTACACCCCCAGACACTCTAATGATGTCATTACGGTCCCCCCCTGCTTACGGAAGACCATAATTCAATTTTATTGTCATTAACAAAATAACGTTTCACTCCTGATGAGGTCACTCAATGATGAAGTAACGGAATTAATCGGAAATGAGAAACCAAGCATGTCTGAAGAAGGAACGTGGTGCATACTAATTGGGCATTTGAACAAGCAATCATGGGTATAGCGGACATTATATCATTTGGTACTAAAAGTTTTTTGCTACAGTTGTCAAACCTGATGATAGGGGAGGGGACCAATCAGATGTGCTTGCTGTTCATTTTCGAATAATTTAGTATTCGCTTACTTGCAACTACATTGATTGAATATTCAGAACTGCCACCTGCAACTACTGTACGTGCTGCCCTGGTCAAACTTACATGCAGAGCGCGCCAGTTAAAATTTGCATGCGGCAATCGATATGGGCAACTGGATTGTTTTGCTGTAAGTATTTTATAATCAACAAGGGTTTTAACCTACTAAAAGGATGGGAAGAATGAACTACCGTTGATAAAAAAAAAAGTTGCCATCGACAAAAAAAATGGCACCTGACAAGAAAGCGCCGAATTTTACAATAAAATAACATCACCAATTAGGTTTCCTTACCTACCCTATACCGACAGCCCCTACCCTAATTTCTTTATGGGAAAAATATAGAAAAAACACCCAAACCATCACTTTTTACCTTTTACCCTTGATTACATGCAAACGCCTCCATAGATGATAGTACACAAAAAAAATTTGCAAAAACAAATTTCCCTGCCTACCTACCCTATTTTCAAATGCCATGTAATCGGAAGCAGAACCAATTTTGTTTTTGGCCTTAGGCAAGACCCCGCCTCTTGACCTCCTCGATTTTGACCAATCAGTGGGTGCTTTCTACATGTATATCGGGTCATCGGTCATTCACCCGTTTGCGCATCATAGACAATGGATAAAAACATGTGTCACGCGCTCTGTATCATGTTACGCGATACCGTGCCCAGCTGTTGTTGAAAACTACATGTAGTAAATATTAAGCACCAGTCAGCTGTTTACTGCCCTAGGGTTTGTGTATAGAATTTAGAAAGGGTAATGAATCTCACAGTGCAGCCAACCGTGCCTGTGGATTTGGTGAGAAACTTGTCTGGAAAATACACTTTTTTGGAGGAAAAAACACACTTTCGGAAAAAATATAAAATATCAAAAAAATTGGGGCGGGAGTTAGGTGATGAAAACCTAAACATCAATGTTGATTGGCCTGTGCGAACAAACTAGGGCAGCTTTTATGGGCGGAAACCAGTTCAAGCTTGTTCCCTTACTCCCTTTTACCGTTCGAAAAGAGTGTTTACAAACGTGATCCAGTCTTCTCATTATCATAATCGATGCATCGCGCTAGGCAACGGAATCGCACTCGGGATACGGGGACCATCGAATGTACGCTGGGCATGAAGACCACATTGCATTGTTCAAACATTAACATGAGTCAGAAATTTAACGTGTTCACAATCGCGAGGGGAGCTCTCGGAATTGAACGGGAAATTTCACTTTTCATCCTGATCGTAAGTAAACTTCAGTACAACTATCTTAATCATTGATGTCTACTTGTACCTCAGGTGGCGTATCTAGTAATTTGTAGGCCATTTTGAGGGTGAAATCTGATGTTTTTGTTGGGCAATGTTGGGTTTTTGGGTCAAGGACAAAATTGTGTTGCTCGGCATACATGTATACGGACTAGCATGATTAGCTTGGGCCCTACTATCGCCGACCTTGTCCGAATGTTAAAAAGGCGGTAAGTTGGGTCCAAGTTACTCGGACTAGAAATTTATTAGAAATATTTATTAGCCTCCTCGATCGAGTAAGTATTTTCCATAATGATATCAAGTGGAAAAACATCCCAGACTTCAAATTCTGGGAAAAACAACCTAGGAAATTTAGCGAAGAAAGATTCCCATACATGTATCTGGTCATCACTTGTCATCCTGTGCACAAACCGTATGAGGCTGGTCTGAAAATGTCTGCAGTGAAGCGCGCCCTCTTGTGTGCGCTCGGAAAAATTCTGCCAACTGGACACCACTTACCTGCCGCCAAACATCCAAATTTTCACCTTACCTTGTGATTTCAACCAAGAGGAATCCAGGAAAGAGTGGACATGCGAAAAAAAATTGGTAAAAATGTGTTTTTGGAGCACATTTTGCATGCACATTAGTCCGAGTAACTTGGACCCAACTTATCGCCTTTTTTAACATTTGGACATGGTCCGTCTGGCTTAATATCGCCAGACCATGTCCAAATGTTAAAAAAGGCGATAAGTTGGGTCCAAGTTACTCGGACTACATGCACATGTAGTGCAGATCTGAGTTGAAGCAGCTGGTCAAAACTGATTGAAGTGTCTGGAACAGCGGTACGTTATACGCATGACATCGATAACCATGACGTCGCATGAGACGTCGCATGAGCCGGCCAATGATAGTGCAATACGTCATTATGAATATTTATTTTCTCATGAATATTTAGTTTATTTCAATGGATACTTCAAATATGTCCAAAGATTGATCATTGCAACAGCGATCGTGCGCGGCCTAGCGGTTAAGAGACTCGTGTATCAAGCAAGCGTCCGAGGTTCGAATCTCGATGAAGTGAGCGACTGATTGATAAATAGAAATTAAGGAAAGGAGGGGGTGAGAGTAGAGGAGGGAAAGTGGAGGGAATAACCATAAAAGAGGTAACTTTTGGCGCTAGAAAATTAATTGAAAAAAGTGGTGTCCGGTTGGCAGAATTTTTCCGTAGTCCAGTATTTCAGTCACATTAATGGGACTATCTTTCCTTCAGCGATGTTGTGGCTTTGCATCGTTGTGTTACATCAACAGATGTCAAACAGTAGGCCTACATTCACATGACATATCATCAAAGATCAAAACATAAACAACATGAACTCTCCCTACAAAAAGTACAAAATACATGCCTAGCTAGGCCTACTTCCTTGAAATTATATCTCCTCATCCTTAAATGTGCAGACCATTTGTTCAATACAGGTACAGGTACAAGACGACGTCCAGAAACAAGACTGACAAGTGACATCAACAACCGACCAAAGTCCGATTCTCCGAATCAAAAATCGTCATCATTTCGAAACTAAAGGCTTCATTTATCAATTACGAAAATATACCTGTTCGAATCACAATTTCTTTAAAAAAAACTTGTAATGTTAGAACAATCACTTATCAACTTACTTACATTTGAACAATCCCAACGAAATGGCGTAATTCTTCAGGCCAAGTTCTCCCTGCTGCATCGCCGGCAAGAATTATAATTTATCGATGCTTTGTCGGCTGAGGGCGCTAAACAATTTTTATGATCGATACGGCTTTGTATTTTGGGAGGTCGCATGGCAATGATATCAGTAGGCCGCCTGTCTTCCTTCAAGCAATATAAAAACGAATCATATTATATCTATATCTGTGAAGCATTTATAGTAAACTTTAAGGGTAACTGTACTGCCCCGTCCCTGCTCTTCAACAAACTCGTTTTTTTCTCTCTCTCCGACATTTTTTCCCCAAAATTCCACACTGATCCGTGCTCTTAAATAAAAAAAAATAGGCCTATATATATATTTTTTTACCCATAAAAGATTATCAATTTGTATGTTTTGTTTAAGCGACCGTCAACTACTTAGTTCCGTTCTTGGATGCTGCTCAGAAAAAGGGCTCTCATTTTGCGCACAAAATGAATCCACTCCTGCGACAGCCTAATATTATTGTCGGGCCGCAAGTAATTCAAATTTTGTAAAGAAATAATTCAATAGCAATATTTGTGGATTCGGTCTAGCCTCGGTGAGCAGTTTGAATTTGAATGGATAATTGTCAAAATCGCACGAGTTAAATGAGCAATCGCATAAAGATAAATAGGCCTATTTCTAGTGATCTGAATGTAAATTCAAATTCCTGCGAAAATGGGTGATTCGTCGATGTGGCTGCCAACTCTGATAAATCGGCCGGGAAAAACACATTATAGGTTTCCCCGGTCGGTAAAATAGATTTGCAGCGTTGTAGGACTCGGACTCGAGTCGGACTCGAGTCACATTTTTCGTGACTCGGACTCGACTCGAGGACATTGGAAAATGACTCGGACTCGGACTCGGACTCGGCCATGATGACTCGGACTCGAGCTTGGTGACTCGTGACTCGAGTCACGTATTTTCATCAAAAGAAAAAAACATAACGTTACGTATTTGTGCGACGAACAAAAACACATTATAGGTTTCCCCGGTCGGTAAAATAGATTTGCAGCGTTGTAGGACTCGGACTCGAGTCGGACTCGAGTCACATTTTTCGTGACTCGGACTCGACTCGAGGACATTGGAAAATGACTCGGACTCGGACTCGGTCTCGACCATGATGACTCGGACTCGAGCTTGGTGACTCGTGACTCGAGTCACGTATTTTCATCAAAAGAAAAAAACATAACGTTACGTATTTGTGCGACGAACATTGTATTCTTTTTTACTCCATAATTGACCAAACACGGCGCCGCGGCGGAAAATCGTATCCAGTACAGGGGCCACGCACGCACGCCTTGCGCCTGCACGACGAGCACCAGGGCCCGGTGTCATGCCAAAAAGTGTACACAACATGTACACACAAGCTAAACTATAAACACTGGGATTTACTTAAAAAGACAGAATGGATGATTGAAAAAAACAAGTTTGGTGAACAACTAAGAACAAGTGACTCGTGACTCGGACTCGAGGCTATTGTGACTCGGGACTTGGACTCGACTACAACACTGTAGATTTGGCAGCCAAATCGGATGACGAGTCACCCATTTTCGCACGAATTTTGATGCACGTTTAGATCAACCTTCAATAAACTAAATAGATTGTTCAATTTAAATCTAAAATCATGCGATTGTACTTTTCAAGGATTCACTTTCAAAACAAAACCCGTTCATGATTTATTCGTCTGAATTCAATAATGTGTCTTTGTTCCAAAAAAAATAACATAAAAACTGTTTCCCACAAAATTCGGCCACAAAGCAGGAGCCACAACATAACCATTTTGATCACTAGTTTTGTCATAAAAGAAAGATGTTACTAAATTGAAGCAGTTTTAAGATAAAGCTAAGTGTTTTAAGATAAAGCTAAGTGATTTAAAACTACATGTGAGAAGATAACAGAGCAAAAGATAACAGAGCAAAAGATAACAATTAAGAACGTATAACAAAAATAGACATGTATGTGATTGTGAACACAGTTTAACATGGCCTACGTTTATTGTGTATTATATCGACTTTCATGTATCGTGTATAATTTCCTCGCATCACTACATTTTTACCTCTAGTATAACGACAGTTTGAACATAATAACTCAAACTAGAATAAAACCAAAATAAATAAAAATAAAAATAAAAACATGTGAAAAGCACAAAAAAAATATTTAAAAGCTCGCATCTTGCCTTTGTTTTCCATTATTTTGAATGCAGAAAATAGAATGCGCGGAGATGAAAAAGAAAATAAGATTCTCATGCAAATATTAACCCTAAACCAAACAGACTGCTGAATTGAATGATCATTTAAACTTAGAATGTGTCAAATATGAAAATGTCATTTCTGACAACGAATTTGAACGCCTGCAAACTAATACGAACCACAGGAACGATAGCAGGGAGCCAATTCGCTTCAAAACGTCCACTTCGTGGAGTGTCATGGCCGAGCGGTTAAAGAACACCGTACTCAAGCCCTGGTGTTTCTGATCAGCAGAGTGTGGGTTCGAGTCCCGGTCTTGACACTTGTGTCCTTAAGCAAGAGACTTAACCATTATTGATTCGTCCTTCGGATGGGACGTATATAGCCGCAGGTCCCGTGCGTTGCGTAATGCACGTAAAAGAACCCAGTAACACTTATCGCTAAGAGAAGGGGTTTGCCCCGGTGTTCCTGGCAGTGGCTGCAATATGCGCCGCAGCACCTTGTAAACCCTTATAAGGTGCTACATAAAATGGGTCTCATATTTCAAATTCTTCATTTACCTGTCTTTAAAATAAATTCATATTAATTAGCGCCTTTGTAGCAGGGTGAATTTTTAGTTGTTGTTTTTGTACATGAGTGACACCCCTTTAATACTCCATCGTTGTTTTTAAGAGTTCAATAGTGCCCCTATGATCTTGGCCTTGCAAATCCCTTGACATTGTATGCGAATTTGACCCGGGCAACCTAATTATTTTTCCTCAAGACCATGCCATTTTCAAATAGCCCATCAATTTGCAGACTGGCAGTGGAGTGAGCACATCACATTTTCTTTGCTCCTTCTTTCATTCGTTTTCTGCCTTGAGAGACTTGGTCTGCTGTAGACTTGGTAAGTTTAACCAAAATTGTTCTTGTTTCTCTTGGAAAGTTTGTTCATCAGTTTTAGTGTACTGTATAACTAGAAATAGATTTTAGGGTTTTTATTAGGATGTTCAATCACTTTTTTTGTATTGATGAAAGTCAAATGTATTTGTTATTTTGTTTCAAGCAGCGTTTCAAGTTTAATTTGAATGATAGAGAAATGTTTCTTTTAGTGCAAAGAAAGAGTCTAATTGATTATTTGTGCGTTGCCATAAAATCTGTTGTGTGAAGTCAAGATATGGGTTATATCATGATTGGCTGGATTTGACGGAAGAGATGAATGAATTTATAAACTTAATTATTTTTCTTTGTGTGTAAGATTTTCCAGGGTGTTTTCTTCACTTAGTTTGGGCTGTAGATTAGATGAGATTAACTAAACCTGATTATGTAGGAACTGTTTTTTTAGAATTGATAGATTATGTTTTGTGGTCTATAGATGAAGCGAAGTTTGTTCTGATCAGAAAACCCTTGGTCTGTAGAATAAGTAACACTATCGATGTTTTCTTATTTTGTGTGTGTGTGTAAGAAGAGTTTCTTATGTTTCTCTGTACTTTGATTTAAAGAGATTTTCTTAGAATAGTTGTATAGTAGTTTACTCATTTCTAGAAATTATTCGATCAAGTGTTTAGGCCTTTACTGTTTTGTTCGCCTTGTTTTTATTATGGAAGACAGTTGTTGAGAACTCTTAGAATGTTTACAATAGCTTGAATAGGATAGCGATGTAGTTTATGTCAAATAAGTATTTCTTTTAAGAATAAGACATATGGATAAATTCACTCTGTGTTCAGGAAACTTTGAGTTCACCGTTCAGGTCAGGACAAGGTTAAGAATTAAGCTTTACTGCTCTGCGCCAACTTAACTCAGAAGGTTAAAAATTAAGATTTATAGCTTGAACTCGGTGGGTAAAACAATTTCGGCTTGTGGTTCAGTGACAATTTTGAACTCTGTGACCCGTCTACTGGTCAAATCGGGTGCAGTGTATTTTTGCAGTATATCACTCTTAGTCTCAATTACTGTAGCCAATCTCTAGTTCAGGGTTGACAGGTGTTTCACATCAACTTTATTAGTACTTGACTTTATTAGTTGTGTGTAGAACAAAACTTATTATCCGTTTATTTTACATTATTATGTTTTACTCTATTGTCACACATTTTATTGATATGATGCTTAATTGGAATATTCTTGTTTTCTTTTCTTTTATTAGGTTGTTTAAGCTTGAGTGTTTTTGATTTATGACTTTCTTTGAACACTGTTGTTGGTTTTTAGTTTTGGTTTTTTTTGGTTACTTTGTTTTAGATTCTTTTTCTTTTTGACATTGCTACTTATCTTTGGTTGTTGTTTTCAACTGTAAAGGTTCTGGATTTTTCAGGTCTAGGTCACAGTGGTCTGGCTTTCAAAAGTGGTGTACCTCAAATTTAACTTTTTAACTTGAACTAGGAGTTTCGATTATTAGATTATATTTTCATCTGTTTTCATGAAGGTCTTCATTACACAATTTAATATTTGGATTCCTTTTGTTTCCTACATTGTTGCTTTGTAGAAATTGCCTCTTTAGATAATTCTTTCATGAAATAAATTTTTCTTTGTTTTTTTTTGTTGTAGTGGAAATCTAAACACTGCCTTGGTTGTCTCTATTCTTAGGATTATCTCGCGATTCCTCCCTAAAAGATTCCTGTTTTACTTTTTCTTGTTGATCCGAAGAGAAGCGAGTCCCCACGGTTCAGATTTTTCTAGGTATTTCTTTATTTTTGATCTTGTGCCATTTTTCCGGGTTACATTTTTTTTTCTTTTTGGTGGAGAATCCGGGTAGGGATTGCTGTTCTTTAGAACTTAGCTAGGTAATTCTAGGAATAGAGTCCGAATCCTGACAGTCTGTAGGTAACAAGTCTTGGTTTGGTCAAGTCAAGGGTAGAAACCAACACAGTGTTTGAGGTTAGGAATATTGACATTACACGAT